AATACCAAGATTAAAAATGTATTAGCGACATTCATGGAATGCCGTCTTCTACAATCTTCAGACACAGCTAGTAGAAATACATGTATGGTTAAATAAAGTGGTCAGTTCGTAAGTAAATGTGTTTAGATACAGAGATGTATTATGGCTAAAGAAAGATAAGCACTTAGTGGACGATTATATTATTGTCCACTTTCAAAGGTACATGTGTATATATTACAGTCGATTTGCGAATCAAATATCATATTGTTTTATTCATACTTTAAAGTCAATTCTATTGCACGACCGTATATATATGTTTACGTAATGTCATTTGCGTTACACTAACATACTGTAGCGTAATGACGAGCCAAATGCTAGCGTTCTATTGGCACGTCAATGAAAAATGATCCTTTTTCATTTTAAACAGTCTTTATTTTGGGTGTGCGATAAACAAAATATTACATTCATGTAGGTTCATCACTAAATTTATTTAACTCGTTGAATAAAGTACTAGTAATATTATGCTCTCCAGAGGCTCGCATAATATATTTTCATTAAAGCCGTTCAATAAATCCAGTATTGAATATACACACATTCAATATTTTCTGTTTATATCAATTTTTTATACCTGTGAGCCTGATTTAAGCTATGCAAAACGTGCAGACTCTGCTTAGACGGAACATTTCGTTAAATAGAATTATTGCATTTTGCTTTTCACTATTTTATGTACATATCACCCTACAAGTAAATCGCACAATTAAAGATGTTTAAATGCATGCGTATGACAGTTTTCTGTAAGATTGTTTGTTTGTTTGTATGTTTGTTTGAGTTTTACGTCACACCGACACAGTTTAGGTCATTTGGCGACGTTCCAGCTTTACTGGAAACCCTCAGGTGCCCTTCCGTGCATTATTTCAGGCACCAGAGTAGAACCACCGACGTTCCGTAAGCTACCTGGAAAGCTTCCTCTTATGAAAGAATCCAAAGTCCCTGTCGGGACTACTAGAACCCACAGCGGTGAAGGGCAAGTGGTTTGCCGTCAACGACCTTGACCACTCGGCCACGAAGATCAATTGATTAACTGAGATATACTACAAAAATGAATCTATTCGTCTTTTGCATTAAATGAACATGGTGAAAATTTTAGTATAATAATATCTTTTGACATCGAACTATGAAAGACTAACGTATCATGTAAGATAAAAGTTGAGATGAAAATGTAATGTTATTGTACCATTGTATTATCTATATTATAATAAGAAATAATCTGAAAAGTCGCGGTTCCATGAAGACACTGAAATAAACATATAATAAAGAAATAAACTAAAAACTTGGTGAATTTTTTTTCAGATTCAGTCTATTCATAACAGATGATCGCAAAGAAATATGAAAATTACCACAACAGAACAGGAAAGAAAAACTTTATGGGCAGTCGAAATTTATGAGTGCAACACTTTGAAAAGGAGAATTCATTCGAGAACTATAAATGAAATATAGGGGTAAACTGTTATCTTGATTTGATGAATTTTACGCTCATAAAAATATGAAAACAAAGATCAGCAAGAGAGGTGGCATTCAATAAACACATCCCTAACAAACACCAGCAACACATTACCACCGACGTGAGATATGGACACTTTAATGGTCATTGAACACTTTAAAATTGAAAATAATGAACGTTCGTTTTAATCAAGCCTGCTGGTGAGCTTTTATTAAAACGAATATTTTTTTTATTTTTCTAACATCTTTAATAAAGTTGACGTTTAATCATTTTTTTAATATTTCCTTATATCACCTGAGGTCATTCTCTACCAGTAAATCTTGAAAACCGCCATTTGACCTTTACAGTGTCTAGTATTATGTTCAAACAACAGGTTTTATCTGCATTTGCATATCAGACAGAATGTGTCTGGTGTAAAATAGTACTCTAATATAATCAGAATTATCAGTATACTTTTTTTAGATATTGAAAATTAGGTTAGGTTCGCAGTGAAGAGAAATTATGGGTATGTCTAAAAGAACTTTGCGTGCAAAGTAAAAATACAAAATAAGTTATTTGATGTTATGTAGTTGTGTCTATGAAAGAATTCATATTTCAAATAGTAAATGGTCATAACTACAATGTAGTAGATGACCCCTTTTGATTTTGGGGTTACTAGATCAAAGGTCAAGGTCACCGGGGTCTTTTTATGTCAGAATGGTTTCCGCTTATTATCTTGAAAACTATTTATTTCAAAGTCTTTATATTTCACATATTGATTGGTCATAACTTTTAGATGACTTCTATTGATTTTTGGGTAACTAGTTTAAAGATCAATGCCACAGGTGCTTAAAATGTCACATAATCTTGAAAACAATTATCACAAAGTCTTCATATTTTACATATTGATTGGTCATAACTGGTATATGTCCCCTGTTGATATCGGGATCGCTATGTCAAAGGTCAAATGTTACGGGTTAAATGTCAGAATGGTTTCCTCTCATTACCAAAAAAAATTAATCACAAAGTCTTTATCTTTCACATATTTAAAAGCCATATGTAGTTGATGTCCCCTATGGATTTGGGGATTACTGGTTCAAATTTCAAGATCACAGGGGCCTATAAATATGGTTTCCTCTTATTACCTTGAAAACTTTTTATTACAAAGTATTCATATTTCACATAATAATTAGTCATAATGGGGTAACTTGTTCAAAGGTCAATGTATTTATTTTTCATATATTGATTGGTTATATCTAGTATGTTATTATTTTTTCCCTAACTGAAAACTTCCAAGTATCGATTTATGGCAGGTTTCTATAACAAAATTTCCAGAAAAGTGAATCAAAGTCTAGAAAAGCGGTCATTTAGATCGTTAGACATTTCTTGTTATTTTGTTTGTCAGGACGCAATGTCATTGAAACTTTACAGGACTGATTGATAGCTCAAGTACTTGGGCATATTATATGGGTTTCCCGCTTGAATGATTTTTTGCCGAGTTATGATCCTTTAATAAAACGGTGTTAATTAATATTTTCCGGAATACACCTCTTATACCACTTATGCAATTTCATTGAAACTTTACATGATTACATGATTAGTAGGTCAAGTACTTGCGCATATAACACAGGTTTTCTACTTTTTTGGCAGAGTTAAGGCCCTTCAATACAAAAGGTGTTTTTTGAGTTGCCTGCTACTTGTTTTGACTACTCTTTTACAACTAGTGCATTTTCATCAAGAACTTTACAGGAATAATCAATTTTATGTTACTTTTTTCACTGTGCATCTCATCAATATTTTTCGATTTAATGATTATTGTCAGAGTAATGTCCCTTTAATGATTTTAATTTTTAAAATTTGTCCTGACTAATCCTCTTATCAATAATACAATTTTAATGAAACTTACAGGATTGATCGGTAGCTAATTTACTTGCCCATATTATAAGGGTTTTCCGGCTGGAGGATTTTCAGCCTTAGATAAAAAATGTGTTTTGCCCTATTAATGATTTTTGGGTCTCCTACTACACAGTAGCTGCAACATACAATTGGCTATCATGAGGCGACACATTTCAAAGATGGCCCTTGTCCGGATGTAACAGTGCTTTTCAATAATTGATTATAAAGCTTTATATTAAAACAAAAAATTGGATATTAGAAAAAAATAAAAAAATATTTCATAGTGCTGAACGAGACTGTTTTGTCATATAAAATCGATCCCATGCCCAAAATGTTTCTTTTATCTTAATAACATATCTGTAAAGTTTCATGCTTTTCCAATTTTCTGAAGTATTTTGTCATATTACTTTGTAACAAATTATAGGAGCTTGCTACAAAAACGTAGTTTTAATCACTTATCCTATTTTCTTTGATTTTTCACTAATAAAAATTTTACTCCGTAAATAAATAGTCTGCTGTTTTGTTGTGCTCGTTCATTTCCAAAATAATCTTGTACAGAAAATAAGTTTTTTTTTCTATTGTTTTTTTTTTCAGAATTTAAATGAAAAAAAAATGAACATGCGTTTAGAGTCATGACATTTTTATGTCAGAGAGAGAGAGAGAGAGAGAAATGTAAATTGGCATATCATTGTTTTTGATGATGCTGGTTAATATTTAATTCGCCAATAAAGGTTAATCAACTATACAGAAAAGAAAGACATTGACAAAGTATTTGCAGACATCTGTGAATAAAAAAGGCTGTATGAAAACAAAAAGTGTAAAGATCTAATTCTTGCACTGTTGACCCTATTAACTCCAAACACCACCAAAACTATTAAAACCATCTTATGTATCTCCTTACAAAATATTGAAGATATCGCTTAGTTAATGAAAGTGCTTGAAAAAAAAACTTTAGATAAATCCAACTTCCAAGTTTTTACATTTAAGTGCACTTTGTTTCAGAGAAATTAAATGCAGCTTATTGTTGTTTGCGCAAATCGGAACCACTCAGAATGATTTCCCCTGTTTTTGTTATTGGTGTGTTTATGACATACGTTGATTTTTTGGCAATAATTTTGTCATTGTTTTGCAAGTCTTTCTAAATGTTATGCCTCTTTATCCCGCTGTTTTTAGACCTTGAGAGAAAAAGAATACCTTCCAAAACGGCAAAATTGAAAATGTTGCAGGCTCGGTTTGATTGTGCCAGCTCATGGACATGGTTCCTGGCATCAACAAACCAAAAGCAGCATTATCCAAAATTGTGACTCCTAAAGCAACGGTCACGAAAAGTAGTCTTCAACACTATCCAGTCACAGGTTATTAAAATGTTTTTTATTAATTATTCGTAAGAAAATATATAAATATTAAAAGGGATTTGAAATGGCTAAAGAAAATTTAACACGTCGGAACTGATATATTTTATTATATTATCTTAAGCATGCATTTCAGTCATTATGTGAATGAAAAATATACATATTTTTCATACAATAAATGAACTATTGTTAAGAATTATTGTAAAATAAACATAACGTTGAAACAGTGACAGTATATAATATTCTTTGTTGAATTTTCAAAATGTGACGATATAAAGTAAAAACGGAAAATACACAAAAAGACAAGCTTATTTAAAATTGCAGTAGGATGATAAGCCGATAATGCTATACATATTAAATATATACATATATACGTGTATATATACAACAAACAGTACATTACCTTTTCAAACACCAAAGAAATCATAAATGCATTCATGTGAAAAAAGTTAATCTGATTTTACAAAGGAACATACACATATATGTACAAATTGAAAAATAAATATTTAAACTAAATATCTTTCATTTCAATTTCTTCATTACTTATCTTACATGAAATCGAAATAAAAGATATGTTATCAGTGTTGGGTTTTGCGCCACACTAACACAGTATTAGTCATATGACGACTTTCCTGCTTAACTGACCTCAAGTACCCCATTATGTGTTTTTTCGGTAACTATATACATGACTGTGTACATATTTATGGTAATGTTATTTAAAACATTCAACGAATGTAAACTATGGTGGCTGATTTGGAACAATTTGCGCGTTGCGTTGTCGATAGCGACAACACAGCCTAAATCGTTATCACCTTTTCGTCTTGTCGCTATCGAAAAGCGCAAAACGTCTTGTCGTCCTGTCACAAATACGTATTTATGACATAGATTTAGGAATTCCGTAATTCGTTCCCTAATTTGTCGTTCTGATCATACTACAAAACTATAATTCCATCCAAATGAACATGTATACATGACGTCTCTTTATGAACCCACATTCCGCAAAAGACGTGCCCTTTTTATTATTTGGTATTTGTATGAGTGCAATAATATATGTAATAAATACATCATTTGTGTTTGTCAAAGTACCTTAACAACCATTTTGTATTTATGTGAGAGTAAACCGAAAAATATGATATCCGGAGCTCCGCACTAAAATTACAAATAATTAATTGAAAAATTGCTGACTCCGTTTAATTTAGTCAGTTCTTTGATATCATGGAATTTGCAACTATCTCGGGAAAAGTTCTGTAGTCATGTTATGCTTTATATAATGCTAATGTTAAAAGATGAGGAAGACAGACCCAATCAAACTAAGTTTGAGATTTTCAACTTTTTGTTTTAGATGTTCTCGAGTGATCAGTAGGTGTGGTTACTGTTTTTTTGTCAACCTTTGGGAAATAGTTTTGAGGATAGAAGAAATATTAAATTAGTGGGCTCATTGCTATTCCGATTTAAGAATTTTTGTTAATTGTATAAGAAACGATTTCACAATACATGTACTTGTGAATTTTTAAGATATAATTTTAATCACATATAAAGTGCATAAGAATTGTTTGGCAACATATTGAATATTTTTTCTTTAGCTTTTACTTGACATTGACAATAACAAAGACATAAGCACTGACTTGGAATTTGGGTGAATCTCTTGATAAGAAAGAAGAAGAAATTTATTCCATATAACATGTTTAAAGAATAAAAGTACTTAAAGCAGCACGCCTCCAGATTCATGTTTATTTTCATGAAAATTTTGAAACTGTATTAAAAAGTAAAATATTGTGAAGTGAACAAAGAAAATATTTTTTACATTGCAAACAGCATAAACAACCAATGTAAATTACCAAAAAGAGGTCAAAATATGCAAAAATAGCCCTTACTGCATAAGTAACGCAGTAGAAATATGGGTAAAAAATACTGCGAAATCGGTCAAAAATCACTCATAACATAAGCATTATTGCTTTTATCTTGAATATTTTTACTTTCCTAAAATGTCAGTACTTTTTACTCAAGTTTTATTTTCTTCCAATATTTTAGCTAATCTGAAGGCATGGAGCTTTAAGTCCATACATTGTAGCACATAATTAATCTCATTTCTAATTTCTTATTTAATATGAAAGCAATGCTGCATTGAATAAAGTATATGGGTTGATTATCATGTAACACAAAGCCATAACTGCATATTGCTTGGGAATATAATATTCAGTTACATTGAACCGAAACAGAAATACATTGGTATTGGATTCTTACTTCTTTGCACAAGCACATGTATTGTCTCTAAGTCCCAGTATACCACATATTACTATTACCTGACACACAACAAAAATTCACAGTGTCAATCAATTAATATGCCATTGAAAGTAGTTCTGTGAGGATAAATATAATAATAGTCTTCAAAGTGAGACGTTTCAATCCACAACTGATCGCCTGCCACAACATAAGCAATTCCTACATTTCCTGCAGAAACTTCTTTATCACTGCTTACAGTCATTGCACTTGTAAGTAATTTTCCGTTCAGTCTCAGTACAACGTGGGCTTTTTTACCATTTCGTGGTTGCACGATAAATATAAAGATGTATGTGCCGGATATTGGTGCTGTAAAGATTCCCGTTGAGGAGCTGTATCCTCCACCATGATTATATAAAACTTCATCAAACACTATCCGTTCGGACTTTCCATAGCGGAAACCCTTCTTGTTCAATACTTTGGCTGAGAATGCGACTTTTCTGACTGATATTAAAAGAACATTAATTAAGAATATTGATACTAATAAATCATCTGAATATGAATAAATAACAAGTATACCTTAAATCAAACTGAGCCTGCAAAGTTTTCAATTTTGACGTTTTTGGCTTCATCATCTAAATTTTGTGATAGACGTACGAGTATATGTATTTACCAGTGAAAGAAATATGATCATCATTGGATGTTGATTTGTAATTTATATAATTTACTTTATATGATGCATTATGAAAGTTTTATTTACAAGGGCTAGTTGATATGTTCGTTAGTATCAATTCAAATGTGTAATTTCTTGTCTTCCTATTAATAAAATACAGTATAAATAGTTGTTTTATATCTTTTATCATTAAAACATGAGCAAACATTCAATAACTATTGATTTATTAGTTTTAATTCAAAACGAATGTACAAGAACGTTATGCTATTGATACATACCTTCTTCTACAGCAATTCTTTTGCTTAAAGCGCTGATCTGACCAGAAAACGTGTCTTTTTCTCTTTCTGCAATACAATTCAAATAAAAGTTCCGAATAACATCCAATACAAAACTGTACTTTATCACACACAAACAGTTACTTTGATTAATCAAATTATTATTCGGTCGGTCGTGGTTCAACTCGACTGTTCTAATTAAACTATTCACAGGTGTATGAACTTTGAAATAATTTAGAATTTATAGTACCTCTTACTCTAAAAGTTGATGTTATGTAGCGAATGACTTTTTATTCAAGTTCATTTGCCTTGATATGAAAAAAACGATGCATAAATTCTTGAAGCAAGCTAGCTTTTGCGTGTACAGTATTTATTAAACTCTTCTTCTCGCTTATATATCACTCAAAAGATTTATTTTTCTTTCAATAAAGTACACTATGACAAAATACCTGAATTTTATATTACATTACACATAATGTCAATTAAAGATGTTGTCTGTTTGCAATGATTCAAACGGGATATAAAATGAGATGTGACCTCAAAATACTTAATTTCCATGCCCCGTGATAACATCGAAAAACTATAAATGTATACGATATTGGTTCAGGGCGTCTATAGAATCACAAATTATAACCAAATTTAAACGAAACCTAAACGAGGTTTATTTATGATGAGCAATTCTGTAAAGAAAACAGAAAAACTGAATTGATCAAAGTATAAATAAAACTGTGTAAAGAAACAAATAACTGTATATAAAATCCGGAGAATCTACATCATTTATTCAGATTGGCTAGTGGCGTAGAGTATAACGGTGATTAATAAATGTTAAAAGGTTGTCTAAAAACTGCGCAAGCAGTAACGGAGAAAATTGCAGTGACAGAGATACGCACCGGTGTTGCACGTTTATTTGATATGCGTGACTGAGAAAATAGTAAACTGCAATGAAAACCCGTCAATTTCATTACACACAAAAAAGTAATAACCAAATCAGACGTATAATTTTCTGTCCTATTGACTCGGGATTAAGTGCTTTTCTAATGCGTCTGCATATTCTCATGCACGTAAAGGAAAACGTTACATTAACCCACAATTTTTATGGTAACTGTACTACATTAACAATGAATTAATACATGTATCAACAAAGTAAAAATTACATGTATATGTAAAATGTCGATATAGTGAATTTAACTAGAACTGTCTCAATCTGACAAGTATCTCCCTGCACGCCCCTTTTATTTATTTTGACTAAGTCCAACTAAAAAGTCTTGTCAGATACAGTATGATATTGTTTAAAATCTTTGTCAATATTTTATAAATAATTGTTTTGCATAGTTAATCTATAGTCATCAAAGTTGAAGATATCTCAAATAGTATTTGGATATGGTTAAATGATGTCTGAGTGCCCTGCTGTTGTGGCTGGATTGTGCCGAGGGCTGCGTTCTGTGAACGACGTCGCCTTGCCAAGTTGATCTTTGTTTTCATCTGTTAGTCCAAATCTAGCGTCATATTGATAAGTATAGAAGGGATCAATATAAATTGACCAAAGTTATTGACCAGGCCTGTCAGCTATGTAGAGAAGACTAGTTAGCGGTACTCAGACACAATATCCTACAATACCCCATATCAAGCGACATAATGGTCAGAATAATGGGGGTTAATATAAAGGTAGTAAACCCGTAATGCTTTTAAAATTTATTAACCCCGCCTATCAGCTATGTAGAAAAAACCTATGTTCGATGCTCATATTCGAAGGCTTTAATGAATTTACCGTTAAGTGATGGTTATAAACGAGAATGAAACACTCTTATAAACGAAACCCAAGGACAATCCAAATGAATATGGAAAACAAGATCAACAAGGAAGAGTGACATTCAAGGAGCAGACATTATGATTGTATGTACGCATAATATAAAAATGGAATAAAACAAAAACCTGAAACTGATAAAAAAAATGTCAAGTGCTACATTGTGACAACACTTGTTGAAACTATAATTCAACGACTGCGTGTCTTTTTTTTACAATATTTTCCTTTCATTCCTAAGTGCTGCTAAGTGCTTAGTCAATATCACACTTCAAAATACGTCTTGTAATTCAAGGCCATCTTTGTTACATAAACGACTGCTCCACATGTGTTTAGTTCTACTTTGACTATCTAAAGCATTTTTTGTTTTAAGAGATATGAAAGGAAGATTGTATTTGGTGAACCACTTAAAAGTTTCTTTCATAATATTCATTAAGAATGCAAAATTGTAAGTTAACTTCCATAATGTTTATGTGTTTTAAAACTTTCTGTGATTAATCATTTGCTTAAAATATAATGAAATAGTTAAATGATATGATTTTGATGCATACCTCTGATATATTTTCAAGTGACATCATGCACACTTTTTCAATGTCTTTCGTTTGTTTTATTTCGTTTGGGTATTACGTCACACCGACACAGTATAGGTCATTTGGCGACGTTCCAGCTTTACTGGTGGAGGAAGACCTCAGGTGCCCTTCTGTGCATTATTTCAGGTACGAACGGGCACCTGAGTAGAACCACCGACGTTTTCAATGTCAATTTGATCTTAATTGACTATATTTTTCCAAAGTTTTCTGTTATAATGATGGTTGACGGAAAATGTTTATATTATTTATCTGCCTAAAATATATTAAATACTGCCCATTTCTTTTTTATAAATTAAGCATTACATGTAATTTCTTTGGCTATTAACAGAAATTTCTTCGGGTATATATGATTTATTTATCGTTATGTGCAGTAAATTATAAATTTGAAAGGATTTATTGCATATGACTTTCACTTGTTCACTCACTTTATACCCTTTGAAGGGCATAATGTGACTTTAGTGTTCGATTTGAATGGTAACACATTTACTGTAGTAAATCTTCTTTAAAAATCTCAGTCTTTTAATTGGTTAGTAAAAATCGACTGTCCTTTTGCGCACTTTCTCGCACAGGCGAAGGTGTTGTTAAGAGGCGTGAACTGTGTATTTATTGATTACACAGTATGAACACATGGAGATATTTTAAGGTCGAACAAAAGATCCCCCCCCCCCCCCCCCCCCAAAAAAAAAACTTAACAATTAGATTTGGAATGTTTTTAATGAATTACTTCGTTATTTTTTGGTACCTAACTTTGAATTGATATCTCCGGACAATGTTAAATAATAATAATATGAAACAAAAAACATTTATTTTTTCAAAGACGTCCATTGTGTTAATTAAACCTTAATGCGTTTAGGGATGTCAGCAAAAAAAAAATTCTTTTTATCAAAAATATTTCAAAAGAAGTCAATATTGTTGCATACGCAAGAAAATCAGCTTCAAAAACAGCCGTTAATCTCGTATGAAGGTAAGAAACTATTTTTTCGACCATTTATATTGTTTGGGAATTTATATATATTTGTAGAAATAGTTACGTAACTGAGTTCGATAACTTCCATTTACAACTAACATCTACAGAAGTGACATAAATCATGGCCCTTCGGAGATTTGTAATCTTCTACAAAAGATAAATCAACCATGACCCTGAGGTCAAAGTTTGCCCCGTCCTTGGGGTCGAATGCCTTATGTAGATAAATGTATTGGAAAACACATCACATCTTTTTGTGGAAAACTACAGTGTTCAAAGCTTAATTATATATTTTGCATGTATCATTGCTTAGAAGATCTCTATAAAAGTTGATGATTCATGCACCTAAGGTCAATATGCTCCCACCCTGGTGGTTATTTAGTAAGTATAAAAAGAAAAAAGAAAAGTAAAGGAAATGTTGGTGAAGTTTCATAAATAGGTTTATTCCCTAATTGAAAAATTATTTTGATTAAACCAAGGTTCGTTCGGGTTTTTCTTTCCCAACCTTTGCTGTGCTCGTTTTTTAGATTCCTGTTACAGCTACTAACCATACGACTGAACCATCCTTTGCTTCTTTTGCGTTTGCAATTAGTATGTCTATACTTATATAGTATGTTGTAAGCAAGAAAATAGTGAATGTCGGCAACACTCTTCTTATATTTGTGGACGGATTTGTACAAAGTCTTTAGCAGAAATTTTAGCACGAAGGGTCTGTGCATATGGTTGTTGTTTTGTGATTTGACCATTTTCTATCCCATAAAATGACCTTTTGTCTTATTACGTTTACATATGTATTATATAGAGAAAAATCTTGCACGACATTCTCTTGGGGGAGTTCAATCATTCATTTTAAAAATATATTGTTCAGTGCTCTTACGTTTAATAATTTGACATTTTTTTTATTTTTTATTTTTACAAAAAAGGTCTTTTGTTTTAATGCAGTTATAAATAGATAAACTTAAGTGATACATCATTATAGTCATTAAATGATAAGTAAACATAATACACTTAAATGAAATATGAAAGACGTTGAGAAGAATTTCATATTATATATTTTGTCTTAGTAAAACGGAACGCTAATGAAAATGTTAACGAACAGCAAAATGTTTGTAATTATCAAAATAGATCAATGTAATACATGTAGTTAATATTGGTTTAACTTTAGTACCTTGCTTTGATGATATGGAACGGAGTTGACTGTCTGTACTATTAAGCCGGCCGCTGAACTCCCTTTTTGTACTCTGAAGGTTCGCGTCGATGGTTGATATACGCTGACTCACTTTTGCCTCCGAATCACTGAGCTTACGTTCGAAATCTGCGTTCATCTCTTGAATAATTATACCTGTTTCATTAACACTTGTTGTCATTTTGTTTTCAAAAGACATTAGTGAATTGGTTGTAGTTATCTTTTGGTCGGTTATAGAATCGTTAAAATTGTCAATTGCACTTTCAACCGATACATTAATCAGTGTCAACTGGTTTTTAATATCTGACTCAAACGCTTTCATTTTGTTTTCAAAAGACATTAGTGAATCGGTTGTAGTTATCTTTTGGTCGGTTATAGAATCGTTAAAATTGTCAATTGCACTTTCAACCGATACATTTATCAATGTCAACTGGTTTTTAATATCTGACTCAAACGCTTTCATTTTGTTTTCAAACTTTTTTACAGTATTTCGCATATGTGTTTTCTCATTAATAAGCATTTTCCGCAAAATTAATGATTGGCTCTTGACATCACTTTTAATCATCGCCTTGGAAGCGTCCGAAATAGTTTTGACGTTTTCATTTGAAAGAGATTGTTCCCCTTCAAATTTGTCCACTTTGTTTCCTATCAATGAAACATCAGCACCGATTTTTTCGATCTTCTTTTCTATTCCTTCGACAACTGTCTTAGTTTCTGCAAGCTCGGATTTTAGATTCTTTGTTTCATAGAGAACATGATCTATTCGTGAAGACAACAAGTCAAAAACTATTTTCGGACTAAGTTCTATTTCTGCCTTACTAATCTGACAAAAACACAATAACAAAAATACAATTTCAAGTCCAACGCGAGACATAGCTTGTGTGTTTGTTAACAAGATCAACGAATAACGTGTTATGGCTGTGAGTATCCTAAAGACTCTATCAAACTATTCTAAACCACAAACTACTTAACATTAAAAAAAGTTATAAATGGTAACCTTTCCTTTTAAACGTATGGTGTCCTGGAAGGGAAATTTATTTGTGCTAATGTGTTACGAAATACTTCATTCCCTCAAATTTGAATACAACAAGTAATGTGACATACCCAAAGTTCATTTCGGTAAACATATCGAGTCAATTGTCGCAAAAACGTTGAAAAGTATTACATTGCTGTGTACTTATTGTCCATTTATCAAAAATATTGTTATGGCTACACCATAATATTAACTTTTATAGCTTAAGTTCAACATATGTGTGCAAAGATTGGGAATCAATTCTAAAACAGTAACAATATTATTTGTCTGGAAACAGGTGTTGTTGGCATATCTATTTTATAACACATCGTTGAAATGAAAACGTCGAAATGGAGATTTGGCCTTTAAGGTGTCTGTCTCGCATCACGGGGTAGTGGGATCAAGCCTTAATGGAATCACAACCATGTTTCTTTATTTGACACCAGTACCAGTACAAGTTAGTTCAAAAATGGCTAATACTCCAAACATTTATCACAATCTCGAGAAAAATAAATACGCAATAAAAGATGAAAATGTCAGTGATAATGTTATATTGAAAATGTTAAAATTAACTTTTGTTGCTGCTTTTGTAAAGCAGTGAGTTGTTCACTATCCCCTGTATTTGTTTCCGTAGAAAACATGATTTCAAATATAATAAGTAGGAATTTCCTATGAAAAAAAATTGTTTTCTCTCAATTTATCTGTCACGCAATCATCACATGTGAGATGTTTCAAGTGTTGTGACTTTATTCAGCTATTTTGAGAAACACTAGAAAGAGACTAAGATAAACCCATTATGTTGAAACTAACACGTAGATTATATAATACTACATTCGTCTATTCTCGTATATGGAACAAAACAAAGACAAAAAAATCATTATTTTCAATGTAATGTCAAGTGCCACTACTTGAAATACGCCTTTTTTTAAGAAGTGTGTCTGTCTTTTTTACAATGTCTTGCACTTCATAGACAAGGACCGATAATTGCTCAAGTCGACATCAAGCTTACAAAATATGTCGTGAAAATCAAGGCCATCTATGTATCACACTTTTTAGTAAACAAATAGCGAAATCCTAGAAAAAGCTTAAGAAATAAAAGACTCATTTCTATTTATCTTAATTCAATATATTCTGGAAGTAGTTCAATATCACTATGTTAAGATGGAACACAGTCTAATTAATCCACCATTACATCATTTCGTCAGTGAACTGTCGTGTAGTAGACTTTTTTTAAAGAGCTGACAACTTAGTCCGGAAGCTAATTGTTTTCGTTAAGTAACAACTCCTTTAATCAATTAAGGTTATAAGAGGTTGAAGTATTAATACAATGTTATTGATTACTTTACCTAAGCTGCACTTCATATAGTGCCATCTCTTCCCCACAGTTACTTGCTCTAGTTCGATTTCTCTATGGGTGCTCTTGGATACGTTTTGTCAACGTTGCCTCATTACTATCTACATTAAAAATTAATGTTATCATTTTAAACTTAATTTCAAAATATAAGGTATCCGCTCATTTTTATCTAATAAGTTTCTATGTATTAAAAAAGATGAAATTTTTATTTGTTATTTTTAATGCTAGCTTTTGAACCCTTATTATTTTACAATTGTTGTTATGTTTAAGTGTCAGCATACTTTACTAAAGCATTAGTTTCCGTCGAAATCATAATAAACAAACGAACTTCTTGACATGTGAGTGGTTTTATACAAAAACACATGCTAACTTTCTAAATCTGTTTTTGTTTTTAGACGTTTAGAATGATTTGGCGGCACAACAAAACAATTTAGGTCATATGGCGCCGAAAGAAGAAATGTGGTTTGGCTATTCTCTTGTTTTACAAACTTAAAGCAACACCAGGAGTTAAAACCATCCACCTGCTGGAGCTTATATATGCATACACTCAAGTATTTTGAATTCAATTACAATCAATGCAGGGATAAACGGTGACTGCAATCTTATGCCTCAACCCTTAAAGACAATCACTCAGTCACAAAGGGTTCGTTTTCAGAGATAAAGAAAGAAAAACTGAGGTTGGTGAACAACCGAATTGCTACTTTCATAACGTTATTAAAACGTTATTTTAAGCAATTTTGCTATCACGGATATACAGTAAAATTTGGATTAATTGCTCATTTACAAAATAATATTATAATCAAAAAGTTTAATGGAATGATTTGATAACATTGACATATCTCTAATATGTTTTAAGGTTTTCTGATCTGTTTTTGGAGAAAATAACTATTTAATAACTATTACAATCAAGGAACAAAACGTTTAGATATTGTGTGTGGGGGTGTATGTGTGTGTGTGTGCGTGCGTGCGTGCGTGTGCGTGTATGATTAAACATATGTGAGAGATATAGGCGGTACAAATAGATCAAGCTTGTCAATTTAATGTATTGAAAATTAAATTGTTTCGACGACTGGTTTATTATAATTCCCCCTTTTGGCAGAATTGACAGTTATTTCATTTAAGAACTTTATTGTCATGTCACAGTCCATTACATTTGGATAAAATCTTCAAAACTTTGGGTTGTTTCTGACAAACAATCAAATGTTAAATTTTCTTTGATGAATTGTGTTTTTAGTTTTTTTTTTATTTACACAGTTTCAGAAATAGTAAAACGCATTTAAAGTGGTTGTTTGACATAATTTCTACTTTTTCTGTCTTCTATATCGTTTTAATGTTTTACAATGCATATTAAGCAAGAGTAATCGTTTAAATAAATTTTAACTTATTTTCTAATATTCAATAAACATTGAGACAAACAGAGGTTAAAATTCAACCAATGGTGGGGCATCAGGAGAATCCAAAAATGTTGCAGGCTCAGTTTGATTGAGGCTCAGTTTAATTGAGCCTGCTCATTTTCTGTACTGAGAGTGCAATCTACTGTCTATGCCTTCAAGCGCTGTTTAAGCAGAATTCAACATTTTGACATGGAATTTTTATTTAAGAAACATCCGCAGATGTGTTCATATGGCGGCTATTACGAAATCTTCATGAGACGTGTAAGTGCCATTCCATAAAAAGCGGCGTATGATCCCCTAGTACAAAAATGCGTGTGCCTTTAACGAGAAAACAATTGGCGAACATTTATGAATTGGAATTTTTAAAGATCAGTGGTTATCACAGAGTTGCTGTCAAAAATCAATTTAAAAAGCTTGTCACATATTTAAGCGTGATAATACATTATTCAAGATAGGAATACTAGAGCCAAAAATATGACATTGACTGGTGGACCTCTACCAATATTGTTTTTCAAATTATAGCCATTGGGTCAAAATTGGCCCGCCCCTGGGGTAATGTGTTTCTTTATTAGTATATAGAAAAAAAATTCTTCAAATCTATAAGCGCTAGAGCTAAGATATTTGGCATGAAACATTAACTAGTAAGCCCCCTTTGAGATTTTCGTTAAACTTTAGGGTAAAAGTTGGCACTGCCCCAGGTCATGGGTTTTCTTCAAATCATAAATGAATAATGAAAGGGAAACAACTCATATTGGAATGTCTTGTATACGTGTGAACATGTTATGCAATTTTTCTATAAAAAAATCAATAGCTGGAAGTTTGTCTAAAGGTTATGACCCCTAGCAAGACAAATGTTTGCTTTTATGAGATATTTTTGAAATGATTTAAGGTCATGACCTTTAGCAAGAAAGATGTTAAAAGTTTACCTATGGATATTAATAAAATGATCTGAGAACATTATAAGAGCATTGTGATTCAAACCATGTATATAAATGATTTTAAATCGTTAATTTTTTTTATGATTTCAGAAATAGGTAATGCTTCATGAAAAAGGTAGTATTTAAGAAAAATTACCTACCGGCTTTTTTATTAATAACTGTCTAGTAAATCACTTACCAACCGCTTATCAGGTACCGACATGTTATTTTGTTTACTATAAAGATTAAGCATTACATAATAATTACCGAATATAGCCCGTAGCGCAGGAATGTTGAAATATTGAAGACAATGGGGGAAGTTACTTCTTCGAAAGTAAAATGTCTGATATTTATTCTAAAGTTCATGTTCATCTCGTTCAGAAGCGCATAAGGCAGTTTTAACTCTTGAAAGCATTTTCTTTTAAAGATTATTTGTTCTAAAAACTCCAAAAAACCGGCTACCGTCCTCGCGTACAATGTTGTTTTTACAACATTCATTAATACACTAACGCACACATAATAAGCTTGCTTTGTAGTTTGTCTTTCTATAAAACGGACATATTTCCCGAAGTACTATATTTAGCTTCATATAATACTTGTTTTTGTCAAAAAGTACAATTATACCTGACTTTTTGCACAATCCTGTATTATTTTAACAGTGCTGCATTCTGGGACATTAACAGCGATTATTGTTGCATATCGAATCAAAGAAAAAACTTCTGCAACTTTCTTTCCCAAAAAGTTATCAATAAGCGTTTGGGATGATGTGGTTTCAGTCTAACACTTCCTATGATGATCAATGATAAATATGTAACGTTATAGCAACCGCTTTCTCGTTATGTAATTCTGTTTACAATCAAATATGAAAATGAAAAAATATGTTCAGGCGTACGCATGTTATTTCTTTTATCTTTAAATACTGTTCAGCTGATTTTCTGTATTATAATATTTTACCTCAAATATTTGCACAGCCCTAATACTCCAGGTACTTTATATCAGTTAATTATTCCTAACACTATCAGAAAAAAATGATGAAGCTGTTCAGGTTATTTAGTTGATATATAAGGCTCTTTTTCTGGTGAGAATATAGATGTCAATTCTTCCTTCACATTCTCATACAGACTAGTGTATTGATGTAATGGTGACTGCAACATTTTCCTTTTTGTCATTTTGGGCGTTTTTTAGGGTTCCCGTTTCTTCTCTATTTCATTTCTTTGGTATTCAATCCTTGGTCGATTGCAGCTATTTAAATGTTATTAAATATAAATGTTTCC